AGTCTGCTTCTCCCTCTGACCCTCCCCCCTCTCATGCTCTCTCTATCTCATTCTCTCTCTCAAATAAATAAATAAAATCTTTAAAAAAAAAAGAAGTGTTAAGTTTGTGGATTGGTTTTTTTTGTTTGCAAATGACAGAAAACCCAAATCAGATTGGTTTAAACCAAAAGAGAAGTTGCTAGCAGAGGTGTGTGGCTTAATATATAGATTAATTATCACTGTCTCTCTCCATCTTAGCTCTGTTCTCCATGTTGGCTTCCTTTGCAGGCTCTATAAAGTCATGAGATGGCTGCCAACAGCTACCGGAGGAGCATCCTCTAGGTTCCAGTCCAGTGAAAAAGAGAACACCTCTCTTCCCAAAGTCCCAGTAAGTCTCATGGCCTCTCAGCGAACTCAAAGAAAAGCGAACTCAAAGAACTGGCTCTAGCTGGCTCTCATGCCCCTGGCTAGCCCAAGGCTGTGGCCAGGGGTTTGCGGGGCTCCCAACTGGCCCTCACCCGCATGCAGGCAGCCACGGGGCAGAGTAAACTCTGCTTGAAGCACGTGGACTGCTTGCGGTGGATCACAACGGTTCACTGAGGAAAATGAGGGAAGGCTCGATGAGTTCTGAGTGGCAAAACCAAGAGCTACATCTTCGGTTTTGTTTGACCTTCTCTTGAGAAACTCTGTTGGCCTCCTTCATTCTTGGTGTCAGGTGTGATTTGCCTCACAGCCGTCTCTTGGTATAGTCCTTCCTACCATAGCCAACTTCCAATTTATCTGCAGTGGTGCAAATGTCCAGATCAAGCCTTCCTGCAAAGCCTACTCCACATACAAAATGGCACAACCAATGGGGCCATCATGCGTTATATACGGAGAGGCCCAGGGCCCTTCTCCTTGCAAAGTACCTGGGGCCTGAGGAGCTGCTTCAAATTTGGGATTAGACATTTAGGTTTGAAAATGTAATAGCAGAGTTTTCATTCCTTCATGTGACTGAGGAAAGACCATGGGTTCCCAGAGAGGCCCCATATTCTTAAATTCCTCTCATTGTCTGAGCTAATTATTAGAACTTGATTTCCATAACTTGAAACACAAGGGTTATAAATAATCATGTGCAAATGTGCCGTGCATGGAGAACCTCAAGCTGGGGTGTGTATGGGATGGCAGGATGATTCCAGTGGGCGAGGGAGGGCAAGGCCACCAGCTGGGGCAGCTGAGACTGTGGAAGAGTTGTGGAATACCACAGTTGCTTCAGGGTAAGAAATGGCAGCAGAAGCCAGGCCAGGCCAATGATGAGCGGAGGGACCATAGTCTGTAGAAGTGACTTCTGAGGGGTGGACGGTAGAGGACAAGGAGAAGTGTTGGCCTGGCTCCTCATCTGAGCTGCTGAGGGAGGTGGGGACTACATGGACAGCAGCAGTGGCCACAAGCCAAAGGACTTATGCAAGGAACCATGTGAAGCAAAGAGTGTCAGGCCCAGAGGAGAGGACTTAAAGAGTGAGGAAGGTTCTGGAACAGACTGTATGGCCAGCCAAACAAACTGGGTAACAGGAGACTGTCTTTCTGTTTTACCTTAATAGATGAGCTAAACATTTTACCTCATACCATGGGGGAGTTTAACTGTATGCCTAAACAAGCAACAGGGAGAGGCATAGGCAAGAAAGGTAGGACCTTCAATGTGGGGGAAGACAGAGTCTCTGAGAAGTCAACTTCTTCCATGTTATTCCAGAAGGTGACAGGGAAAAGAGAGGTCCGACATGAGCCCAACTTTGCCTATGTGCCCAGATCTGTGAGGGTAGGGGTTGTGGTGGGCAGCAAAGGCAGCCCCCCACAATGCCCCACACCCGCTGGGCCTTCCTAGAGCAATAAAGCCTGTGCTGCTCATCGCAGAGATCCGCGTGAACGGTGGCACCTGATCTCTGTCTTCACCTCGGAGTTCACCCAGCTGGGACCTGCACATTTAGTGTGTTCAACAGAGGTGGGAATGAACCCATGCCCTCCCAAATCCAAGCAGTCTCACTCTCACTCCTAAGGTGAACTCGAGGCCCCTGGGTGCCATTTGTAGAGGACCCACGTTTCCCTTCAGTGGTGGCATGGGGAAGCCCACTCTGTGGCCGCGCTCTCCGGGCCATCTCCCCTGGAGCCGCATCCTTTACATCTTCAGACCCAGAGGCCATGTTTCCGTGAGGATCTCCTCGGCCTCTGCAGGCTGTGGAACAGGACTGTCTGGGCTTGAATCTCAGCTCCTACATGGGTTGTGAACCTTGAACAAAGAGCTTAACAGGCCCATCAACATCTCGATTTCTTAATCTGTAAAAGAAGAACGTGATTGCTAATTTGTGGTGAATGTTACGTAAGGTAATACACAGCGTACACAGCTAAGTATTTGGTAAGGTCAGCTACTTACCGCTGGCTTTCCTGTCACAGCCCGAATCAGGTCTCTCCCGTCCCTTGTCAAACACCTCGTTGTTGTGTTTTTCAGGGCTTCCTCTTGGACCGATCCCCACCGATGTCTGTGTGCCTCCCACCGTGTGTTTCCTGAACCTTAGGACCCAGTGCCACCCATTCCAGAACATTCCACCACCCGGAGTAGCTGGTATTTGCCTGGCTTTGGACTTCACGGAGTGGGGTTTATTCAGAGTTTTTGAGGAGGACCCTGTGCAGAGTAAGAGCAAGAGTACACCTTCCCGGACTTCTCTCTCTGAAAGGTGGGTTATTAGACGTTTCCGGGTGTTAGGGAGACCGACACCTAAGGATTAGAAGCATTTTTTCTCAGGTTCTCACCTGAGGACTCTGCTCCACCAATGCACCTTGGCAGCTTCTCCCAGATCAACAGTAATGCCCTATGTTTCATGATGACTTCATTATTGCATCTCAGAGGCCAGGCTGGTCGGACTATTTCTTCAGTGCTTTTCCTTTCCAGCTCAACTAGTCATTAAGAATCAGCTTTAAAAAACTGCAAAGCCCGTGTGTGCAGCCCAGGGCGTCACCCTCACCTCCCCTCTTCTCCCGCCTCCTGGAATCAGGCTTCCAGAAAGTAGTCTCATGCCACTCCCAAAAGGCTGCATCTGATTTGTTTCCGTAGCGTCACAGAGGATCATTAACTCCTCTACACTTTCTCAAACTTATTAAATTATGCAACATTTGCTGCACCTGAGTGCACCTTGGTCTCCTGTGGTGATTGGAGGGGGCAAGAAGGGAAGTCTGGAAGCCCCACCCTCCCCACGGCCAGCCCAGCCCAGAATCCCCGGCTTTCTCTCTCCCTTATGATTTTGGCAGGCAGTGAGACGTTAATCTCTTTCAACTGGAGCGGGTTCACTTCGTTTCTCTCCTGAGAGGAGGCCAACAGGAACTGACCCCAAGTTGCCATGAGCTCTGCCATCACCTGCTGTGAGCACCCCGACCCTTTGGTGAGTGTGGCTGAAAGAGAGGAGACGAGAAGAAGGGGGCAGGCAGAATGAAGAAAGGCCTGGAGGGGGTCCCGGTGCCCTAGTTCATTATTTGTGCTCAGCACGTGTGGCTCACGTTCTAGAGAAGATTGTAGATCACTAGACAGGTGTCCAGCTGCCTTCCCCCCCACGCCGTCATGAGGCCAAGATTCCTCCCTGAGTGCTGAACTCGGTGAATGCGCTCCCAAGCAAGGAGGAAGCACTGGAAGATCCTTTTAGTTTTACCTTTATTCACAGTTGGTCTCTGAAGATACCTAAATATTTGTTTTCCAGGTTTCTCCATGCTATGATTTCTTTGATCAGAAGGACTTTCTAAAACAAAGCAAAGGGAAAGAGAGAGGGCATCGGAGAGAGAGAGAACTAATATTTACCAAACAACCAATACAGCCCGGGCACTTTATGTGTTTTATTTCCTTCCTTCCAAGCCAACGGTGCAGGTGCTTCTGTTCCCGGATGAGGAACCTGAGGCCCAGAGAAATACAGTAACAGTAACCCCTCTGGAGGCTTCTCTGGCGAGTCCTTGAGCCCTGGCCCACCACCTTCCCAACCGATTTTTGAGCACCTAAAAGTAAGAGGGTGAACTGAGTGGAGACACTCTTGTTCTTGGCACTGCTCACCCCCAGGGGGAAAGAGCTCCTGTTCACCGGGGCTTGCGGGCCCTGCAGGATGGGGGTCACCCACGGACTTGGGCTGGGCCCCCACAGCTGTCCCCTGGGGCCAGGCCGCCAGACCCTGCCCACAGAGGCTCAGCCCTCTGGTGAAGAGACCCCGGCTGTTTTTTCCCAGGAACTCGTGGAAGGCGCTTGAGAGATCTCGCTTCTTTTTCTCTTCAGGATTCTTTCTGCCCCTACCGTCATGGAAACAAAACAAAACAAAAGTCTTGGGAAATCATTTTGGTTTACCTGAGGCCACCTGGAGTGTGGCAGGTCTGGGCCTGAACCCATCCTCTTCTCAGTGGCCTGCCTTCTCTTCATCCTCGGCACCCACTCTTCTGAGATGTCTTTGGTTTCGCATCATGTTGCTCTGCTGGAAACTTTGAGGAACATTAGCAAGGGGGAGACAGCTTCCTGACCCTGAAAGCTTGTGGCCTAGCTAGGGGAACGCAGGGTACACAGAAATGTTTCTGGTACAAGAGAGAAAACAGCAAATTATGTAACAGAGAGACACAGGGTGCTCTCTGGGAGTTACCAGGGAGAAAAATCATATGAGTGTGGGGAGGTCAGGAGAGGTGATGGGGAGGAGGTGTTGAGCTCTTGCAAGTGGGTAGGGGAAGCAGGGGGCTCAAGGGGGGCCCTCAGGGGGAGCTAAGACTCTGACACAGGATAACGGAGGCCACACTTGGAGGAACCTGGACGACCCCATTGGCTACAGCCAGGTCGATGGGAGTGTTAGGAAACAAACCTAGAGGGCCAGGCAGGGTACTGGAAGCTGTGTGGGGTGTGAGTGGAGTCAGAGGGGCAAGGGACCCCTCTTCCTCCCGGGAACTCCATTGCTGTCCCTGCACCCGAGTCTCCTCCTGCCCTGCCTGGCAGCCCCAGGCAGTCGGGCACTGCAGCCGCTTACATTGGCACGCTGCGTCCATTCATTCGGTCCACACTGAACACAGGTGTTGGCTCATCTAGGAGCTGGGACTGCACCGAAGAGTAAGGCACAGTCAGTGCATTCTAGGAACTCACAGCCCAGCGGAAGCGATGGATACGGTAACTGTCCACTAGAATAACCATGCCAAGAGGAGAGCTTTGGCGGGTGTAAACACAGGGCCCATGGGAGCCCCTCTGAGGGCAGCTAGGGCATTCTGGGGCCAGGATCCCCATGTACCTGTCTGCGGGGGAAATCTGCCCATCGTCTGACCTTGGAGTTGGCCCCCAACCCCTCCTCCACAAAGCTGCTACTCAGCAAAGGGCTTCAGGCAAAGCAGCCACTCCCCTCGCGTGACCCCAGACCACACACGCAGGCCCTACTGAAGATATGTAATGTAGAAAATCACTGGTCTTTTGAGTCTGGACCAGAAATCCCAAACTGGCCAACCGTTATCCCTATCCCATTGCCTCTTGCCCCTGGCAGGCCATCCATCTACCCAGCTGAAATCAGGAAGTCCACTTGATTCCTCTTAAAATGTCTAGGTGTGTCCTTCTCTTGTTCCCAGCAGAGGGGTGACAATGTGCTCAACTGTCACAATGATGGCCAAGGCAGGAAGAAGGCTGGGCAGGCCAGGAGCTCCAGCAGCAGCCCGGTGATCTACGGCATCCTGGATGTCCCACCGTGGTACCTCTGCATCTTCTTGGGGATCCAGGTAATGCCACCCAGCGAGCCCTGCGTCCAAAGAGGCTCTGCCTCAAAAGCCACACTGATCGCACCCAGGCCGAATTAGTCAAGATCTACAACTTTGGTTACTGATATTCTTGTCTTCCACGTAGCTGACCTCCAGGGGAACTCAAGGCTCCTTGTCTCTCTTTCTCTCAGGGGTGTGGGGGTGGGGGGTTGGAATTAGCGGAAGAGTCTCCCTCATGCTAAGCCTATAGGTAACATCAAGGACACCGACTGCATCATTTTCATGATACCAACCTCAATTTATTTGATTTGCAACAACTAAAAAATGTGATAACCAGGGCTTGGGGAATTTGGGGAAACAAGCATTGTCAAACACTTGTGTTGGAACATTTTTTGATGCAGCCTTTCTGGATGGCCATTGGTGCTTTCTATCAACATGTAAACCATATGCCCTTTAACCCAGTCCCCAGTGCTTAAGAATTTCTCTGTGGATACACTGGCAAGACTTGTTAAGATAAGTACAAAGACATTCTTGTAACATTATTGGCGATACTAACATCAAACCACACAACAAACAAATAAGCACAAACCCTAGAAACAACCCAAATATCCTTCAAAGGGAACGGGTTGAACAAATTGTGACCACATCCGAACAGATGACTTTTGTATGCAGCTGCTAAAAAGAGAAAGATATATTTCTCTTGCAGTTAGGGAATATTCCCCAATAGATGGTAAGTGAAAAAAGCAAAGTAAATAACTATGTATATACTGTTATCTTTTTTTTTTTTAAAGATTTTTTTTTTTTAATTTATTTTGAGAGAGAGAATGAGAGACAGAGAGCATGAGAGGGAGGAGGGTCAGAGGGAGAAGCAGACTCCCCGCCGAGCAGGGAGCCCGATGCGGGACTCGATCCCGGGACTCCAGGATCATGACCTGAGCCGAAGGCAGTCGCTCAACCAACTGAGCCACCCAGGCGCCCTATACTGTTATCTTTTATGTGTGTGTTAAAAACAGAGAGAGAGAAAGATAGAAATAAGTATATGTAGTGATTTGGGGTTTTGAAGGATCCCTAAGAAACTAACAAAGGTAGCTTTGGGAAGAAGAATCAAGGAAGGGGAGGTGGCTTTCCATTTTCACTTTTGATTCTTTAAGTTTCTGTACCATGAATTTGCCAGACTCACAGATGTGTTTCTTTTAATTTTACAAAGTGTTCAATATAGAATATCAGGGATGGGATACACTTTTGTTTACTTCTTGGTGCTTTTCCATAAAGTAAGAAAAGCCGATGTCATACTACTTAAAAAATATTATTATGAGCCAATAAAATGGATAATATAGATAATATAGATCTACAGCCACTGACTCAGAGAACTGTAAGGACATATTTTTGAATTTAAGAAAGCCAAATGCAGCTGTCCAATTTTCCCAACATGATTTGAACAGTCTGCTTTTCTCCCATTGGATATTCTTTTCAGCTTGTCAAAGATTAATTGACATATACTTGTGGGTTTATTTCTGGGTTTTCTATTTTGTTCCATTGATCTATGTGTCTATTTCTGTGCCAGTACCATGCTGTTTTGATTACTACAGCTTTGTAATATAAGTTGAAGTCCAGAATTGTGATGCCTTCAGCTTTGCTTTTCTTTCTTCTTCTCCTCTCCTTCTCCTCCTTCTCCTTCTCCTTCTTCTTCTTCTTCCTCTTCTTCAGAGTGGGAGGGGGAAAAGGGGAGAGGGAGAGAGGATCTTAAGCAGGCTCCATGCCCAGCGCAGAGCCTGATGTGGGGCTCAATCTCATGACCCTGAGATCATGAGCTGAGCTGAAATCAAGACTCAGACGCTCAACCGACTGAGCCACCCAGGTGCCCCTCCAGCTTTGTTTTTCATTTTCAAGGTTGTGTTGGCTATTCAGGGTCTTTTGTGGTTCCATACAAATTTTAGGATTGGTTGTTCTAGTTCTGTGAAAAATACTGTTGGTATTTTTTTTTTTATTCTTATGTTAATCCCCATACATTACAGCATTAGTTCTAGATGAAGTGTTCCATGATTCATTGTTTGTGCATAACACCCAGTGCTCCATGCAAATACTGTTGGTATTTTGATAGGAATTGCATTAAATGTATAGATTACTTTAGGTAGTATAGACATTTTAATGATATCTGTTCTTCCTATCCATGAGCATGGAATGCCCTTCACATTCCATGTGTATAGGTCTTTCACCTCTTTAGTTAGGTTTATTCCTAGGTTTCTTATTACTTTTGGTGCAATTGTAAATGAGATTGTTTTCTGAATTTCTCTTTGTGCTGCTTCACTATTGGTGTACAGAAATGCAACAGATTTCTGTATGTTGATTTTGTATCCTGTGACTTTACTGAATTTATCAGTTCTAGCAGTTTTTTTGATGAAGTCTTTCAGATTTTCATGGTATCATGTCATCTGCAAATAGTGCAAGATTTACTTTTTCCTTACCAATTTGGATGCCTTTTATTTCTTTTTGTTGTCTGATTGCTGTGGCTAGGACTTCCAGTACAATTTGAATTAAAGTGGTGAGAGTGGACATCTTGACCTTAGAGGAAAGACTCACTGTTTTTCCCCACTGAAGATGATATTAGCTGTGGGTTTTTCATATATGGCCTTTTTATGTTGAGGTTTGTTCCCTCTAAACCTGCTTTGCTGAGGGTTTTTTTTTTTTTTATCATGAATAGATGTTGTACTTTGTCAAATGCTTTTTGTGCATCCACTGAAATGATCATATGGTTCTTATCCTTTCTTTTATTGATGTGATGTATCACATTGGTTGATTTGGGAATATTGAACCACCGTTGCAACCCAGGAATAAATCCCACTTGATCACGGTGAATGATTTTTTAATGTATTGTTGGATTTGGTTGGCTATTATTTTGTTGAGGATTTTTGCATCTATGTTAATCAGGGATATTGATCTGTAGTTCTCCTTTTTAGTGGTGTCTTTATCTTGTTTTGGTATCAGGATAATGCTGGCCTCATAGAATGAATTTGGAAGTTTTCTTTCCTTTTCTATTTTTTGGAATAGTTAGAGAATAACAGGTATTAACTCTTCTTTAAATGTTTGTTAAAATTCACATGTGAAGCCACCTGGCCCTGGACTTTTGTTTGTTGGGAGTTGTTTTGCTTACTGATTCAATTTCTTTGCTGGTTATCAGTCTGTTCAAATTTTCTATTTTATCCAGTTTCAGTTTTGGTATTTTGTGTTTCCAGGAATATATCCATTTCTTCCAGGTTGTCCAGTTTGTTGGCATGTAGTTTTTCATAATATTCTGTTGCAATTGTTTGTATTTCTGTAGTGTTGATTGTTATTTGTCCTCTCTCATTTGTGATTTTATTTATTTGAGTCCTTTCTTTTTTCTTTTTGGTAAGTCTGGCCTGAGGTTTATCAATTTTATTGATTTTTTTTTTTTCAAAGAACCAGCTCCTGGTTTCATTGACTTGTTCTATTGTTTTTTTAGTTTTCATTTATTTCTCCTCTAATCTTTATTATTTCATTTTTTCTGCTGGTTTTAGGTTTTGTTTGTTGTTCTTTTTCTAGCTCTTTTAGGGCTAAGGTTAGATTATTTATTTGAGATTCTTCTTGCTTCTTGAGATAGGCCTGTATTGCTATAAACCTCCTTCTTAGAACTGCTTTTATTGAATCCCAAAGGTTTTGGATTGTTGTGTTTTCATTTTCATTTGTTTCCATGTACTTCTTTTTTCTTCTTTTACTTCCTGGCTGACCCATTCACTGTTTAGTAGTGTGTTATTTAACCTCCATGTATTTGTGATCTTTCCAGATTTTTTTCTTGTGGTTGACTTCTAGTTTCATAGTGTTGTGGTCAGAAAAGATGCATGGTAGGACTTTGGTCTTCTTGAATTTGTTGAGGCTTTTTGTGGGCTGATATATGATCTATTCTGGAGGATGTTCCATGTGCACTTGAAAAGAATGTGTATTCTGCTGTTTTAGGATGGAATGTTCTGAATATATCTGTTAAATCCATCTGTTCCAGTGTGTCATTGAAAGCCATTATTTCCTTGTTGATTTTCTGTTTAGATGATCTGTCTATGGATGTAAGTGGGGTGTTAAAGTCCCCTACTATTATTGTATTACTATTGATTAGTTCCTTTATGTTCATTATTAACTGTTTATATGTATTTGGGTGCTCCCATGTTGGGTGCATAAATATTTATAATTGCTATATCTTCTTGTTGGATTGTCCCCTTTATTATTATATACTGTCCTTCTTTGTCTCTTGTTACAGTCTTTGTTTTGAAGTCTATTTTGTCTGAAATAAGTCTTGCTACCTGGCTTTTTTTTTTTTTTAAGATTTATTTATTTATTTGAGAAAGAGAGAGAGCGTGGGCAGGGGGAGGGACAGGGGGAGAGAATCCTCAAGCACACTCCCTTCTGAGTTTGGAGCCCAATCTCATAAACCTGAGATCATGACCTGAGCTGAAACCAAGCATCAGATGCATAACTGACTGAGCCATCCAGGTACCCGCCGCCCCCCCGCCCCCGGCTTTCTTTTGACATCCATTTGCATGATACGTATTTCTCCATCCCCTCACTTTCAACCTGCGGGTGTCTTTAGGTCTAAAATGAGTCTCTTGTAGGCAGCATATAGATGAGTCTTTTTTAAAATCCATTCTGACACCCTATGTATTCTGACTGAAGTGTTTAGTCCATGTACATTCAAAGTAATTATTGCTAGATATCTATTTATTACCATTTTATTACTTGTTTTGTGGTTGTTTCTGATGATTTTCTCTGATTCTTTCTTGTCTTTCTCTCTGCCATATTTTGCTGATTTTCTTCAGTGATATATTTGGATTTATTTCTCTTTATTCTTTGCATGTTTATTAGTGGGTTTTGGTATATAGCTGCCATTAGGTTTGTATATAACCTCTTCTGCAAATAGCAGTCTATATTAAGTTGGTGGTCGTTTAAGTTTAAATCCATTCTTTTCTCCTCTCCTCCCATGTTTTAGGTATATGTTATTATACTTTATATTTTTGTGTGTATGTGAGTTCCTTGACTGATTTTTTACAGAAATATTCATTGTTACTGCTTTTGTGTTTCCTGTCTTTATACTGTCACTTTTGGTCTCTCCTTTCCACTCAAAGTGTCTCCTTTAATATCTCTTAAGGGACTGGTTTAGTCGTCATGAACTCCTTTAGTTTTTGTTTGTCTGGGAAACACTTTATCTCTCCTTCTATTTCTGAATGATAGTCTTGCTGGATAGAGTATTCTTGGCTGCAGATTTTCCCCCTTAAGCACTTTGACTAGATCATGCCACTCCCTTCTGGCTTGCCAAGTTTCCATTGAAAGATCTCCTACTAGCCTTGTGGGTTTTCCCTTGTAAGTTAATGACTTCTTTTGTCTTGTTGCTTTGAGGATTTTTTTATCACTATATTTCGCAAGTTTAATTACACTATGTCTTGGTGTGGGTCTCCTTTTGTTGATATTGTCAGGAGTTCTCTGTGCCTCCTGGATCTGGATGTCTGTTTCCTTCCTCAGATTAGGAACATTTTCAGCTATTATTTCTTCAAATACATTTTCTGCCCCCGTTCTCTCTCTTTCTTCTTCTGGGACTCCTATAATACAAATGTTATTATGTTTGATGGATTTACTGAGTTCCCTAAGTCCATTCTTGTTTTGTGTAATTCTTTTTTCTCTTTTGTTCAGCTTGATTGCTTTCCATGACTCTGTCTTTGAGGTCACTCATTTCTTCCTCTGCTTCTCCTATCCTGTTATTCATCCCATCGCATGTACTCCTCATTTTGTTTACTGAGCCCTTATATCTCTGCTGTGTTATTCCTTATCTCTGTGTTAAGGGTCTCACTCATGTCTTCCACTCTTTTCTTAAGTCTGGTGAGTATCCTTATGATCACTGCTTTAAATTCTCTATCAGGCATGTTACTTATATCTGTTTTGCTTAGCTCTCTGGCCATGGCCTTGTCCTGTTCTTTCATTTGGGATAAATTTCTCCGTCTCCCCATTTTGTCTGCCTCTCTGTGTCTGTTTCTGTGTGTTAAGATAGCTCTGATTTTGCTCTTGAAAGTAGTGGCTTTATGAAGAGGAGGTCCTGAGTGCCCTGCAGGGCAGTGTCCCCTGTTCACCAGGACATGGCACTTCAGGGGAGTCTCCTGTGTGTTGCTAATGCCCTGCTGTTGTGTCTGAGTCTGTACTGCTCTCTGCCTGTTGTGGGCTGTGCCTGCTCTCCGTGGTGTTAGCGGGACCCAGGCAGGCCAGTTCTGAAGGGGCATGCCTGCCAGGCAGTTTGGGAGTGGGGCAGCTCCCAAATTCCCAATTTTGTTAGCAAAATTTGCATTGGGCCACTAGTCCTAGGCCAGATTCCCCGACGCACGTAGGCAGCTGTCGGCTGGGGGCTGCGAGCCAGGTGGCTGGGGGTGTGAGGCTGGGCTCCGTGCCCTGGCTGCGTGCGTGGGGCTGGCCGCAGCGCACCCTGCGGCTGGCGAGGCACATGCACAGCTTTAACATAATTTGCCCTGAGCCCGGCGGAGGCCACAAGTGCCGTGCAAAGTGGCTCTGTGTTTATGCTGGAGGATTGGGGGGGGGGGGGGGGAGAAGGGCACCTGCCGGCTCCCTTGTTTTCAAAGAAGTCCCCCGGCACGCTCCGAAATCAGTTCAAACAGATCTGTCTCCCGTTTGTTGTATAAGAGGGGGAGAGAGAGAGAGAGAGAGAGCAAGTGCACAGGGGGAGGGGCAGAGGGAGAGAGAGTCCCAAGCAGACTCCCCGCTGAGTCTCACAACCCTGAGATCACGACCTGAGCCCTGAGCCGAAACCAAGAGTCGGCCGCTTACCCGACTGTGCCACCCAGGCGCCCCTGAACTGCCATTTTTACGTTGCCTCTCCCCGCAGGCTGCTGGCTCTTTAAGGGCGGTGACCCGGCTGTCACTCCCCCTTCCGGTCGGCCCAGTGCTGAGTCAGCTGCCTTTTACAGCTCTGGGCTCCAAGTCCCCCCCGGTTTTACAGACTCACAGAATTCATGCCCTCTGGTGTTTAAAGCCAAACGGCACGGGGATTAGTCTTCCCTGTGTGAGCCCCCTGGTGCCAGGGCCCATTTCTCTGCCCTCTCTGTGTGCACAGCTCCCTCCCCGCCGCGGGCAGCCTCTCTCCACCTTTCTGACCTTCCGAACCTTTCAGATGCAGCTGCTTCTCTGTGTTCAGTTGTGGAATTTGTTCTGCCGGTCTTCGGATCACTGTTCGGTTTCTTGACTTGGTTGGGGATGATACCTAGTTGTAAGCGTGGACGGGCGTGAGCTCAGGAGCCTCCCACCCCGCCATCCTCCCGAGCTCCAAGTCCCTCGCCCACTTTTAACACAGATCGTTTGGGTTTTGCTATTGAGCTCTATGAGTTCCTTAGACGTTCTGGATATTAATGGGGGTGCCTGGGTGGCTCAGTCAGTGAAGCATCTGCCTTTGGCTCAGGTCATGATTGGGGACCCTGGGGTGGAGCCCTGAGTCGGGCTCCCTGCTCAGCCGGGAGCCTGTTTCTCCCTCTCCTCCCTGCTCGTGCTCTCTCTCACTATCTCTGTCCCTTTCTCTCTCAAATAAATAAATAAAAGCTTAAAAAATTTTTTTTTGATATAAACCTTTTATCAGAGAGACGGTTTGCATATACTTTCTCCCATTCTGTAGGCTGTCTTTTTTTTTTTTTTTTAAGATTTTATTTATTTATTTGAGAGAGAGAGAATAAGAGACAGAGAGCATGAGAGGGAGGAGGGTCAGAGGGAGAAGCAGACTCCCTGCCGAGCAGGGAGCCCGATGCAGGACTCGATCCAGGGACTCCAGGATCATGACCTGAGCCGAAGGCAGTCGCTTAACCAACTGAGCCACCCAGGCGCCCCAAGTAGGCTGTCTTTTTATTTTGCTGTTTCCTTTTCTGCTCAAAGCTTTTTACTTTGATGTAATCCTGCTTGCTTATTTTTGCTTCTGTTGTTGGTGCTTTTGGTGCCATAGCTAACGATCTTTGCCAAGACCCGATGTTAAGGAGCTTTTCCACAGTGTTTTCTTCTAGGACTTTCATAGTTTCAGGCCTTATATTTAAGTCCTTAATCCATTTTGAGTTAATTTTTGTGAATGGTGCAAGGTAGGAGTTCCATTTCTCATTCTTCTGTGTGTGGCTGTCCAGATTTTGCAACACCGTTTATTGATGAGACTACCCGTTCCCCCATCAAGTCTTTTTGGCTTCCTTGTCAAATGTTAGTTGACCATGTATGCTTGGGTTTATTTCTGGGCTCTCAATTCTGTTCTGTTGGTCTATTTGTCTACTTTTATGATAGTACCATTCTGTTTTTTCCTTTTTTTGTTGTTTTTTGGGTTTTTTTGAAAATAACATCCTTCCAGTTTTCAAAAACTGCCATCAAATTTAGTAAAGAATCTGCTTATGTTTGGCAAACAAATGAAATTCTGGTATGTTTTTATTATTTCATTTTTGTCTTACGTTTTAAGGTAAATGAAAATATCAGCCAGTTCTCAGGTACCATACTGTTTGATTACTGTAGCTTCGTAATAGAGCTTGAAATGCGGAATTATGATGGCTGCTTCTTTGTTTTTCTTTCTCAGGATTGCTTCGGCTATTTGAGGACTTTGGTTGTCCCATACAAATTACAGCATTGTTTTTTCTGTTCTTGTGAACAACGTCATTGAAATTTTGATAGCAATTTCATTGACTCTATAGCTGGCTTTGGATAGTATGGACATTTTAATGATATAAATTCTTTCTCCCTTCTGCTAATTTTGGGCTTAGTTTATTCTTCTTGTTCTAGTTCCTGGAGGTGTAGAGTTAGGTTGCTTGAGATTTTTCTTCTAGGCATTTATCACTATGAGCTTCCCAGGAGTTTTGATATGTTGTGTTTCCATTTTTGTTTGTCTCAAGATATTTTTTTTTATTTCCCTTTTGATTTCTTCTTATTCCCATTGGTTGTTCAGGAGGGTGTTGCTTGCTTTCCACAAATCTGTGAATTTTCCAGTTTTCCTCCAGTTTCATACCATTACCGTCAGAAAAGACCCTTGGTATGATTCCCTTCTTAAATTTGCCAAGGCTGTTTTGTGACTTAACATATGATCCGTCCAGGGGAATGTGCGCAGGGCTTCCTGGTCATTAGTCTTGCCCTCACCTTGTACCTTGTTTTAATTATGAGCCTCTTACTTTGTTCTTTTTTTCAGATTTTTTTTAGATTTTTGAAAAAGATTTTATTTATTTATTTGACAGAGAGAGACACCACTCAAGTAGCAGAGAGGCAGACAGAGGGAGAATGAGAAGCAGGTTCCCTGCCGAGCAGAGAGCCCGCTGCAGGGCTCGATCCCAGGACCCTGAGATCATGACCTGAGCTGAAGGCAGATATTTAACCAACTGAGCCACCCAGGCAGCCCTCTTGCCTTGTTCTTTTTCTGAAGGCCCTCTCTTTGGTTCCTGTTATGTCCTCCTGTTTTGTGTCTGTGCCTGGGTTTCTTACCCAGGATATCAGTTCCCAGTGTTAGGGTTCTGCCCTTGAACCCCAGACCCTCAGGCTGGGTCTCTGTTTCTTGCTGCCTGGTCTCCCTTGTTCCCACTGCTGATCTGGATGTCTGCCTGTCACTCCTGGTCAGGCTCCTCTGAGACCAGAGGTAGAGCTCTTTCCTCTGGCAGAGGACCAGGAATGAGGGTGGAGGAGGCAGCCCAGCATCTACCTGTCTGTCCACTCTCTCTGCTCTGCCCACAGCACTTCCTCACAGCCCTGGGGGGGCTCGTGGCAGTGCCGCTCATCCTGGCCAAGGACCTGTGCCTGCAGCATGACCCCCTGACTCAGAGCTACCTCATCAGCACCATTTTCTTCGTCTCCGGCCTCTGCACTCTCCTGCAAGTGTTTTTAGGAGTCAGGTAGGTAAAACTCTCTTCTCTGGCTTCTGACTTTTCACTGCTGGAGTATCAGCAAGATTTGCTTGGCTTGCAGCTGGAGAAGTGGTTAGGCAGCTGGTGGGACCTGACAGAGGGAACATGGGACTAGGAATCAGAGCCTGGGTTCAAGTCCTAGCTCCAACACTTACTGTCTGTATTAGCTAGGATTCTCAATTCATGTTACATAAATCCAGACTAGCTTAGGCAAAGATTTGTTCTCTATTAATGTATAAGATCAAGGTAAGAGAAAGGCAAGGTGCATCATGCGTCAGGAACAAGGACTCAGATGGGACTTCTCTTGTTTCTACAAAGGCCTGCCCCTAATCTTTGTGAGATGCAGGGCAAGGATACAAATGGATTCCCACACACTGATGTCCAAATATTGGAGGGTTATTTATTTATTTTTTTTAAAGATTTTATTTCTTTATTTGACAGAGAGAGAGAGCACAAACAGGGGGAGTGGCAGGCAGAGGCAGAGAGAGAAGCAGGCTCCCCGCAGAGCAAAGGAAGCCTGATGTGGGACTCGATCCCAGGACCCTGGGATCATGACCTGAGCCGAAGGCAGTCGCTTAACCAACTGAGACACCCAGGCGCCCCCAAATATTGGAGGGTTATAAACCAAACTTAGAGACTCTTAAATAAGATATGTTCTGATCATTCTACCTGGAAGGCCAGGTTGAATTCCAAATTCAACCTCCAAAATTCTGCTTTGGAACTTAGCCACATGGGGAGGGCCAATCCCCAGCCTGTGGCCTTCCTCCTTCTCTTCCTACCTCAAGCTTTGCTCCAGATCATAAATGGTCTTACATCCATGAATGTGGACACCCCAGCCTGCGTATCCAAGCTCCACCCCCACACACACACACCAGATTCCCCAAATAGCTGATGCCTGGCCACCCTCGGGCCTGGGGTTGTGCGCACCTGCATCGTGGTCTGCCATGATGGTCTGCCTTCAGACCTGAGGAAAAGGCCCAAGCAGGCTCTGGAAAAGGCTCAGGGCCATTTGGGCAGAGAATTCTTGGCTCTCAAAGGGGAGAGGCACACAGACTTGAGGTGGACATGTCCCCTTGGCCCCGCAGACGCCTCCCCCTAGAAGGCAGAGTGGGGCCCTCTGGAGCATCGGGCTAGGTGCAGGGGGCTCTCCTGTCTGAAGACAGAGCAGTCTCCTCACCACATTGCCAGTGCGTGTGCTCTGTTGTCACGGACAGGCTCCCTGCACAGGATGGTGGACAGGTGGCTGGCAGTCCTCACACTTCTCTCCCAAAGCAGGTGAGTTCTGCTCTGGCGAGTCTCCCATTTTAAAATTCCAGGGAAGAGCGCTAATTGGTGCAACGTAAACCAGATGCCCAGCTCTCACCCATTGGGGCAACAGATATGGAGACTCCTACTGAGGAAAGTTTCCCAAAGAACAGAGAAGAGGAGTTCTGTTCTGAGTAGACAAGACAGCAGAGATTCACTGAGCGGGATATGGGGTTTGGGACCTATAAAATAAGGCCCGTGCTCATATTGCGTTTTCTCCCTTAGAGTTGCATTGAGATGCGCAATTGTTAAAATCAGTGGAATCACCTTTAAAAAACAAAAAACAAAAAACATCAAGTCCTTGGGGCGCCTGGGTGGCTCAGTCAGTTAAACGTCTGCCTTCAGCTCAGGTCATGATCCCGGGGTCCTGGGATCGAGCCCCACATCGGGCTCCCTGCTCGGTGGGAAGTCTGCTTCTTCCTCTCCCTCTGCCTGCCACACCTCTTGCTTGTGCTCTCTCCCTCTCTCTCTCAAATAAATAAATACAATCTTAAAAAACAAAAACAAAAACATCAAGTCCTTTATGCTCATACATTGACTGCTAAAATTAGTCTGAGTAAAATGGAATCCAATTGCTCTGGAGCTGGCCTGGACAAAATCGTGAGGCCAGGAAAATGTCTCTGGAGCTTTCCCCCTCCTCATTTCCACACCTCCCCTCTTCCTATTCTCCACCACCACCCCCTGCCCCACCTTGATTCCCAGAACTCCACACAGTGGCTCCCTTCGGTTACCGTCAGCTCAGGAAATCCCTCTCTGTGGGTCCTCCAGCCCTCTCCCACTCACCCCTTCACTCAGACCCATTAGTCCTGCGTCTTCTTCCTTTAACATTAATTTAGCATCTAGTCCAAGGACAGATCCAGGTTTTGTTCAGCCGGAAGCTTACACTGTTTTTGGTGTCTTCTTTAAGAAAAAACACAGAAGTATGAATACAAAATCACATATGAGAGAGAATATTATTAACTTGAAAAAAAATCACAGCAAATCACAAATTTTAAAAAGTAGATAAATAGGGGCGCCTGGGTGGCTCAGATGGTTAAGCGTCTGCCTTCGGCTCAGGTCATGATCCCAGGGTTCTGGGATCGAGTCCTGCATCGGGCTC